TGTTTCTGTCTCAGTGCTGGGAGTTAATTCTCCAGTGTGATGTTCAGGAGTGCAGTGTACCATGGAAAACTAAGGAAGGCGGGTTGGAAATCCCTAATAACTCACAAATCTCTGGGCACATGCTCGAAACAGAACGTGATCAGTGCTTGAATAGAGGAGAAACTGTGCTTTAAATCTCTCCAAAACCTCTTGGTTTCTCTTCAGGATGATGAGAAGGCAGCAGAGCATCATCCAGGCAGATCTTGCACCCATAACCATCTCCTCACTGATGATGATTGCAATGCTGTCCAGTAAAGCTGGATGTCCTCCATGCTCCATGAGTTATGGTGGACCAGCAGACCTGCAGCAACGCTTCTGTGCTCTCTCTGTGGTGTCCAGCCGTTAGGACCTGTGCTGCTGCTGGCACGGGCTGTAGCACCAGCACTGATTCCTCCTTGGCCTCCTCAACCACTTGTCCCCAACTTCCAGCCCTGTGCACTCCAGTTGCATCTTCAGAGATGGTTAGTTAAGAGTCTGAGCAGACACGGAGGTATTGGAGGGGTTTGAAACATCATTGCTCTTGCCTTTGGGATGCAGAAAGGTTTACAAGCCCTGACCAAGTCATGAAGTCCCTTCTGCAGGGTTTAGCATCGAGCTTCTCAGAGGAGAAACTTGCTTGGGAGAAGGAGTTATCAAGTGCAGCTTTAAAATGTCTTCATGGGGCCAATGTGAGGATAAGGAACCCACCACCTCCTTCTGTGGACCATGGTGTCCCTCTGAAGAGCTCCTCTTTCTGCCCCAGATGGCTGGTTCTGCTGTCAGAAACATTTCGTGCAGAGAGACCATGTCAACAGTCTGTCTGCTGTGTCCACAAAACACACCTTTAAAGAAGCCATAAATCAGTGATTTTCCTTGATCCCAGCAGCTTCATTTTCCTCCTTTATCCTCCACAACTTCACAGTGAGGTCTAATCACTAGGTGGCTTGTTGAAGTTTGATCAGCCCTCACTTGGTTTTCCTTCCTTAGTGGCTGGGGGTGTGAAATACATACTGCATGCATAGGAAACCTGGAGCTTGTTTCTTTGATAATGACATCTAGATGAGCAGTGAGCTGTAAGAACTGGCTGAGGCTTCCAGAAGATGTTGGGAGCTCCGTTGGGAGGTGGTGGGATTTCAGCCAAGGATGGTTAATCCTTTGAGATGAGCCTGGCACAAGGAGTTAGGGCAGATCCATAGTTTCAGGGAGGAAGCAAAAGAGAAACAGAAAAGGACCTGGCAAACCTTTCCTGGAGGCACCATCTTTGGGAAGGAGCCTGGTTGCAGGCTTGTGTTGGTCATCTGCCTTCTCCATAGATGTGCTCCAAAAGCCTTTGGTGTAGTGGCAGTTCTTAGATAAGCATTGGCAATGTGTTTGGATACAGGATAACAGCACAGGGTGCCCAGAGAAGCTGTGGCTGCCCCATCCCTGGCAGTGCTCAAGGCCAGGTTGGACACAGGGGCTTGGAGCAACCTGCTCTAGTGGAAGGTGTCCCTGCCCGTGGCAGGGGTTGGAGCTGGAGGAGCTTTAAGGTCCCTTCATCCCAAACCAGTCTGGGGTTCTTTATTCTATAAAGGTACAGCTAATGATGGTTCAACAAGTTTTGTTGGTCCTTTCTCAAACCCCACAAGATTTGGCTCTTGAAATACTCTGGATTATCTTACTTGGCTTCATGAATCAGTTCCCACAAGCTGGGATACACGGAGACCTGCCCGAAGCCACTGCTTCTGCTCACTGACCTTTCCAAAGCTGTGATGGGACAGTCACAGCGACCAGTACCTTGTCCACTGGTGGCATCTGCCATGCAAGCATCTTAAAGGCTTTTATTGGGAATAAAATGCCTTGCACGCCAAGTTCAGCCTGTTTTCCAGCTGGGAAACACAAGACCAAGGACAGCCATTGCTGGTTCTTTCAGAGGGGTGACCAGTGGTACCTGGGGAGGGATGGTGGCTCTGCTGGCCATGCAGATCTTCATGCAGGTCCCTTAGCTCAGGAAACCAGTCATTTGGGGTAGGTAGCTGGTTTGCTGCAATGCACTGTGCAAACCATCCTTCCATGGGGATCAGGTGGGAGGAGAGGAACCATGGTGTAACATTGCTATGGATAGTTGTCCTTAAAAGGTGGGAGGGGGAAGGAAGAGAGCAGCAAAGTGGCTCAAATGTGACCTAAACACGGAAAGTTGTATCTTCGTTGCTGTGTGTGATACCTCTTCTCTGTCTCCATTCAAGCTACACTTCTGATGAAGCAAGCCTGGCCACAGACCTCCTCCTCCTGTGCCACAGAGGGCACCTTCCACCTCCCAGTGGACACCGGCACCGAGAACAGAACTTACCAGGCTTCTTCTGCAGCATTCAGTAACTAAAGCTTTTCTTCTGGGGTTTTCCTTGGTTGGTTTGTGCCCAGTTGCCTCCCCTCCTGGGGGTTACTTGGGGATGGGGTTATTTGGGATCAGCCTGTTTGAAAGGGGTTGGGAACGTTCACGTCTGTGTGTCCTTCCCTGTGTGCTGACACAATGAGGGTGCTGCAGGTCATGGGGGTGCTTGCTTTGCACCATGTAGTAGATCTGTCACCTGCTGCTGCCAGAGATGTCCAGTGGGAGCTGCAGTTCCCTCTGGGATGAAATGTTGTGGGTTTTCCTCTCAAAACAAGGTAGCATCCTTTGTTCAGGTGTGTGAAAACCATGAAGGAGCATGAAAAGGAGAGCACCCACTCTCCCCTTCAGAGGGACATATCAAGTGGAGAAGGGTGAAGACCTCTTTCAGCCCAGTCTTTGGTCCCCGGGAGCAGCCTGGGGTTGATTTCAGGTGTATACTGGTGTATACTGCAGTGGTGATGCTCTGTGGTTGAGCATGCACAGAAAAATCAAAGGGAGGTTATTTCCTATTCCTTTAAAATAGAGAATTCCAAAATACAGCTTGATTTTCAAGGAATCCAGGGTGAAATTCCCACCTTCTAACTCAAACTGGCTGCGAAAAGGCAGGGGGAGGAGATGCTGCTTATGGATCGTGGTTAAACAGGCTTTTCCAGCTGGAGCCTTGTAATCTCATCCCCTAAGAGGCCCAATAGTGCCTCCAGGAGGGGTGATAAGCTCCCAGATAAGGCCCCTGGTGCTTCCCCAGGTATGTGGGGTGTCCTCTGGCCCCTGCCCAACTGCTCTTGCCATCATGTTGCCTTGCATGGGACATGCTGCAAGCATGAGGTGGGACCAGTCCTAGGTTTAAAGTGCAGAATGAACCTTCCAAACACCCCTGGGACCTGGAGAAACTCCCAGTTGTGTTTGGAGACAAAAATAATACTGGGAGACTTTTAATAGGTTTTAATAGGGGGGTAGAGCACCTCCCATAGGAAGACAGGCCAAGCAAATTGAGGCTGTTGAGCCTGGAGAAGAGAAGCTGCGTGGAGACCTCAGAGCAGCTTCAGTGTCTGGAGGGGGCTACAAGGATGCTGGGGAGGGACCTTCACCAGGGACTGGAGGGATAGGACAAGGGGAATCCTTTGTCCTGTCCCTACAGGCCCTTGTCCAAAGCCCCTCTCCAGGTCTCCTGGAGCCCCTTTAGGCCCTGGAGCTGCTCTAAGGTGTCCCCTTCAGGAGCCTTCTCTTCTCCAGCTGCCCCAGCCCAGCTCTCTCAGCCTGGCTCCAGAGCAGAGCTGCTCCAGCCCTCGCAGCAGCTCCGGGGCCTCCCCTGGCCTCACTCCAGCAGCTCCACGTACCTCTTCTGCTGTTCCCCAGTCTCCCCAGACCACAGCAGAGGGGCAGGATCCCCTCCCTGAGCTGCTGCTCACACTCTGGGGGTGCACCCAGCACATGGGGGGTTCTGGGCTCAAGCACACGCTGGAGCTGGGTCATGTCTAGTTTTTCATGTACCAGCATTCCCAAGTCTTCTCCTCAGGGCTGCTCTCCATCCATTTATCCCTCAGCCTGTACAGACACAGAAGGTTGCCCCAACCTGTGCATAGGACCATGCACTTGGCCTTGTTGAGCTCCATGAGGTTCCCATGGTCCCACCTCTCCAGCCTGTCCAGGTCTCTCTGGATCCCATCCCTTCCCTCCAGCGTGTCACTGCTCCACACAGCTCCGGGTCACCAGCAAACGTGCTGAGGGTGCTGGATCCCACCATCTACGTCACTGATGAAGATATTAAACAGATGAAGTTATTAACTAGGTGCAGATGCTGAAGAGGGATTCCACTCCTCACTTGTCTCCACTTGGATATTGAGCTGTTGGCTGTAACCCTGTGTATGGCCACCCAGCCAATCCTTATCCAGCTGAGAAATGATGCTTGTTGTGAACCCTTCATGTGGGAACAGGAGGAGAGGATGATATAAAATTCATCAGAGTTTCCCCCCCTCCTCCCCACCCTCCCTGCTATTACAGAAAAATGTATCTCTGCAATTTAGGGCTCTTCTGTGTTTCAGGGTCAGTAACTTGACATTTCTTGAGTGGCACCAGCATTTAATCAGCAATTTTAATAGAAGTAGCTGAAAGGCTCACCATTGCTTTTGGACGAATGTTTCCAGGGATGGAGCATCCACCACTGCTCTGGGAAACGTGGAAGATTACATCTTCCATGGGCTGTTATGCTTCATACCTTTTTTAGTATCATAGCTAAATTGGCTGTGATTCAGCAGTTGGGAAACCACAGCAAGTCTTAGGTGGTGAAACCACACAGCCTGGAGCTTGTCCACAGCTCCCGGTGCCCATCGGAAGTGAAGTGTGATGCTGAGAACTGGCAGCCTCCGTGGTCCTTGCTTAATGAAATCAGTTCCGAGGTGAAGAAAACGGGTAAAACTGAAGAACAGGAGGTTGGTGGCTCTGTAGCTGACGTTGCTGGGTTCCTGGAGGACCTCATGATGTCTCTATGGTGAATACAGCCCTTCAGAACCTGCAGTTCCTCTCGCTGCTTCCATCTCTCCTTTAAAGACAGTTGCTCTCCTGCTAATGTGAGTCAGAATAAAAGGTCACAGCTCTTCTGCTGTTTAATTAACACATTGGATCCAATGTGCAGCAATCAGGAGGTGGTGAGATGCTGTTTGGGAGTTCCTAGAAAGCTTGTTTTCTTCACGCCCTTGCAGTGCTGGGTGGATAATGTGGGCTATTAGCAGCCTTGCAGTCTTTGCCTTCATTAATTGCTGCCCTGAATAGTGCTTGAGTAAATTACTTCATTATGTTTGAGTGCTTAGATATGTTACTGCTGGGCTGAGCCTTGGCTTCTCCTCTCCATCCTACACAGTCTTTGGGGCCATTTGCTCTAAGCATGGTTTCTCCCAGTCCTCCTGCAAGAGCTGGGTACCATTTCCCACCAGACATCCCATCCCATATGCTTTTCCTTGCTTGTGTGAGCAGATCTTTTACTATTCCCATTTTACTTGTTCATCAAGCTGTGACCAACACCTTGATGCCTTCACAGCACCCTTGATGCAGTCTGGGGCATCCCATGGCAGCAGCTCAGCTTTTAGTCTACCCTAAAAGAAAACTCCTTAAAGCACAACTTCAAGTGTTCTTGAGTGTTAGATTAGAGAAACTGCCACATTATGGTCTAGACAAGTGGTCTGTGTGGTGGGTGGGGAACTGCCCAAAGGTGGTGGTGAACCTTATGACACCCCATGTTCCTTTTCCAACTGGGGACCTGTCACTGGTAGGGTAGATACTGGGCCCAACACTGTTCAATGTCTTCATAAGTGATCTGGGTGATGGGATCAAGTGCTCCCCGGTGAAGTTTGCCAGTGACACCAAACTGAGTGGGGAAGTGGACACTTGGGAAGGTGGAGCCACCCTGCAGGATGAGCTGGACAGGCTGAAGAGTGGGATAACAAGAACCTGATGGAGCTCAACAAGGACAAGTGCCAGGTCTTGCCCCTGGGAAAACCCAATCCTGGAGTGCAGCACAGGCTGGGATCTGCCCCGCTGGGGCCCGCCTCGGGAAAGGGCC